AGATTTTTTTGTCAAAGGTTGCAATTAGAAATGGCTATTGTATCATAATTATATTTATTATTTTTCCTACAATAACGACGACTAATTGCAGCCCGGAGGACCGGGCTGCTCTATACATATAAGTTTAAGTGTTGGAGTATGGTGATTGGGTAGGGAGAAGTTATTCATAATTAAAGGTTTTCTTAACATTGAAAAGACTGTTAATCAGAATGTTCTTCCCTTTCTAAATTACGATATACACAATATATAAACTTCCATTAAGTGAATATGTAAAAATAAATATGTTTTACATATCTAATATATAAAGTTTTATCATTTACTATCAAAAAACGACAGATCCCTTTTTAAATTAGAACATCGAATTTTACTTCTCGCATAAAAACGTACTCTGCGTAGTTCATGTCTTATTTTCTAAAATTAAACATTAATACATTTTTGAATATAGGTGATGCATGTGTCTAACTTCAGTTTATATTTTATGCAGCCAACATTTACACATTCCTAGAAAACACATATTAAAGATCAAGTTTATGTTAGAGATATAATATATAACAGGATACTGATAAAATATACTGTACTCATTTTTTATAACATGTGAAAAATTCAAACACTATAAAAGATAAGTAATAATTAGATCAATTATATATACATCTATATTTTTTCCAATATTTTCATGTTTTAGATGATGACATATATGTACTTTTTTGGGGTGGGTTGGAGTGTATATGTCAGTAATAAAGAAGACAAGGAAGTTCTAAATTAAATTCTTATGGTAGTCGTACTTTTATACAGTATATGACTGAATTTAATACAGCCCATTAAATAGTATTTTCATAAGTTGCTTAAAATTAGCAATGTTATCATAAAAATATATGGTTTTCCGTATAACAATTTACTATATTAATAATTTCATTTTTTATCTTTTTCTGGACTTAAAATTAGAAATAAATATACGGTCTTTTTCCATGAAATCATGGAAACATCTTTATCTTTATATTGTACTAAAAAGTTTTAGCCTACAATTCAGTACCAAATAAAAATATTTTGATCTGTAGTCTTTTTAAACCAAAACTACCAATAAGCCTATTTTGAACTGCTCATTGTCATACAGGTGACATGATGGATATAAAGCGTTTTGTTTCGTTCTTATACAGCTTTTAAGTTTACTTGTAACTTTAACAAATACAGTTGTGAAAGGCAAAATTTAATATATTTATTTCCATACCCGTAATCGGAATTATGTTACAGCTATCAGTAATCGATAAATTTAAACGTGATCATTGAAAAATTCACAAAAAGAAAAGAAATATTTATCACGAAATGTGTTTACAATGGCGTTTCTAGTTGAGAATGGTAGAATAAGTTTGAAAAGTTTTCTTGGTGGTGCCTGTATACATCGTTTTTGTGCCATGGATATCGTACTTAGGAACTAATTTTAATTATTTATATACAATACTTTTACAGTTCTTTCTGTTTTTACTGTATGCAAAATTTATTTACAAAGGTATTATGGCGTATTGGTGCTGCTCAGCTACACCACAACAGGTGGTGTTTTTAAAACCTTTTAAGCTTACTGCTGTATAATGAACTTCTACAAGGTACACGTTTAGCATATTAAAGTACTATAGAGTGTTTTTCAAAATTGATATCATTTGCTTTTATTTTGCATTATATTGGTACCTGAATACTAGCTTTTAATTATGCATGAATAATCTATTTAGTTTTTAGTTATGAAACTGAAAGCATGTCTTATTTTTACTTCCCAAATAATTTTTATAGACAACTGTTAGCTACTGTAACATGTAATGTAAATTTGATGATTTCTTTAGAATGATATCTGGTTTATATAACTGTAATAAAACTATAATTTATATCATGTTATATAGGAGGTGATGGATTTCTTTCAAAGAATGATCATTATGATGTGAACAGGTGAAGGTTTGAGTTACTGTATTGTATATTTTACCAGGTGGCAGTACGAGGTGGCTTCCTTGGTCTGGTGTTTGGACTCGGGTGTCTTATCAGCCTCTCTGGCACCACCCTGACTCATTTTGGGTGGTACCTGATGGCGCTCAGCTTCTTCCACTTCTCTGAGTATTTGACAACAGCAGCTACAAATCCTTGCTCTCTCACCCTAGACTCGTACCTGTTGGACCACAGTCGCGAGTATAAGTTGGCAGCAGTAGCTAGTTGGCTGGAGTTTTTTGTAGAATGGTATTTAGCACCAGGTATGAGTCAAATAACACAGAATTTATACAAACAGAAACATATGTAAACATTTTATCAGCAGAAATGCACATGTATAATTATGAATTTCATCATTTTGTTTACGTAAATTCTGAATAAGACCATTTTTATTTTAGGTTTAAAGCAGTATTATTATATAGCTGTCATTGGTGTACTACTAGTCCTGTTGGGAGAATCTCTGAGGAAAGCCAGTATGATTACGGCTTCAACAAATTTTAACCATTATGTCCAGTACGTCAAGAGACCAGGTCATCAGCTGGTCACCAGGGGAGTGTACTCCTGGTGTCGACATCCGTCCTACGTCGGCTGGTTTTATTGGAGCATAGGGACTCAGGTAATGTCAAGTGGTTTTTATTGGAGCATAGGGACTCAGGTAATGTCAAGTGGTTTTTATTGGAGCATAGGGACTCAGGTAATGTCAAGTGGTTTTATTAGAGCATAGGGAATCAGGTATTGTTGTGGTTTTTATCAGAGCATAGGGACTCAGGTATAGTCGTGGGTTTTTATTTGAGCATAGGGACATAGGTATTGTTGTGGTTTTTATTGGAGCATAGGGACTCAGGTAATGTCATGTGGTTTTTATTAGGGCATAGGGATACAGGTATTGTTGTGGTTTTTATTGGAGCATAGGGACTCAGGTATTGTTGTGGTATTTATTGGAGCATAGGGACTCAGGTATTGTTGTGGTTTTTATTGGAGCATAGGGACTCAGGTATTGTTGTGGTATTTATTAGAGCATAGGGACTCAGGTATTGTTGTGGTTTTTATTGGAGCATAGGGACTCAGGTAATGTCATGTGGTTTTATTAGGGCATAGGGACACAGGTATTGTTGTGGTTTTTATTGGAGCATAGGGACTCAGGTAATGTCATGTGGTTTTATTAGGGCATAGGGACACAGGTATTGTTGTGGTTTTTATTGGAGCATAGGGACTCGGGTATTGTTGTAGCTTTTATTGGAGCATAGGGACTCAGGTAATGTCATGTGGTTTTATTAGAGCATAGGGACTCAGGTATTGTCGTGGGTTTTATTAGAGCATAGGGACTCAGGTAATGTCAAGTGGTTTTTATTGGAGCATAGAAACTCAGGTAATGTCATGTGGTTTTATTAGAGCATAGGGACTCAGGTATAGTCGTGGGTTTTATTGGAGCATAAGGACTCAGGTAATGTCAAGTTGTTTTTAGTGGAGCATAGAAACTCAGGTAATGTCATGTGGTTTTATTAGAGCATAGGGACTCAGGTATTGTCGTGTGGTTTTATTTGAGCATAGGGACTCAGGTTTTGTCGTGGGTTTTTATTTGAGCATAGGGACTCAGGTATTGTCGTGGTTATATTGGAGCATAGGGACTCAGGTAATGTTAAATCTCAATGGTGGTGATCATAACAAAATCATATAAATATACACATGCATGATCTAGCGTACTTGATCAAAATAAGATGAACATGTTGGACAAAGCATTTGATAAAGACATGAAAAAGAAACTGTTACAAACATATTTCACTTCAAGCTTACAAAAATCAGAAAACTTTTATGCAGCAATTATCACTTTCTGTCCAGAAAATAAAACTTAAATGTAGAAAGCTGTTAGGTTATCAGTTTTCAGGGAAGGGGTGTATGTCATTGCTGCATATAGTGCATTGAGGAACAAATAAAGAACAAGTATGTGTGGGGTTAGGTTTTTGCATATTAAAGCATTTCAATATATTAGACCTATTAATGTTTGAATTTTACTTAATTTTTTTTCAGCTTATATTAGGAAATCCATTCTGTTTGATAGCCTATACAATAGTGTCATGGAGATTTTTCAGAGAGAGAATTTATGAAGAGGAGATTTATCTTCTGAACTTTTTTGGTGAAGATTATTTAGACTACCAGAAATCTGTGGGTACTGGTCTACCTTTCATTACTGGCTACACGGGCTACTCAGCGCTGTAATATCTAGTCCAGTTTTAATTCAGAATTTGTCTCAAGAGTGCATTTTAATCTGTTTTACAAACATGAAGATGTGAGATTCTTGGTGATAACATTTTGATTCCTTTTTATGTGTGTTTTATAATACAACTGCATTTAACATAATACTAAATCCAAGAAAAGCAGTTATGAACTGTTAGGCTCCATTGCCACTCCATTGTTCCGAGATGTCTGCTAGTAGATATTTAATGTCTTTCTGCTCATTGACATTTTAATACAAGAAGAAACTTTCCGAAAGTTGTCAGTCATGAATATACATGTGTAAAGTGAAATATTTTTTATGAACAAATGATGCAATTTATATTTATTAAAGGTGTATTTTAAGTTAGTTTGTTTTGTTTTTATTATGATTTAATTTTAAAATATTTACCAAAACATCATAGAGGAATTGTGCACACTGAGTGCACTAAATGATACCCCCAGCCTCCCATATAATTATATACAATGGGGAAGTCCATGTTTTACTCTGGGAGAACCGAAATAAGTTTCAGATCAAAAAGTGAAATTAGGATGTGTGCATTGGCATTAAGTAACTAAGAATCTGAAAGTATCATTAAATTTTACTTAGGGGTATAGGAGGATTTGCGAATAAAAGACGGGTACCATTCAATATTATAGAAAGAATGGCTGTTGTCATATTTTGCTCTGGGAAACCCAAAATATGTATCTGTTATTACAAAACCTTCACATTAAGGGGCTGATAATAGTAGCTTTATGCATGAAAATACTTGTAATCTACAGAAACCCGACAACATCCCACAATTCAGAGAAAAAAAACACACTTGTAACTCTTCAATAGTTTACTGCATTGGTTTATAACGGTTAACATGGTTAATAAAGCAAAAGAGGACCAGCCTCCAAAAGTCTCAAATAAAATGTCTGATATAAATAATAAAATTGTTGGAATTTATTAAAACAAATGGAAAATGAAAATGTATTAATACATAATAAAGATAGCTAAGGGTTGTAAATAATGAAAACAATTAAATCATAAATATTTAAAAAATAACATGAAGGATTACATACAGATAGATATAAACATACAGGTTTATATGAATAAAATGCTACAAATAGGAATAAATCATAGAATTATCACAGTAATCAACAAATAAATGTCAAGTTTGTAAAAAAAAAAAAAGGTAACAAAATCGATATACTTTAGTATGTCCTTTTTGTACAATATACATGTACTTCCTTAAATAACTCATAAAGAGTGCATATTTTGGACGGAAAAAATAAACAAAACTTTAAATTTATGCATATTATTAGAATACTAGATAAATATATTGTAACAAAAATAAAATACTATGGAAAATTTAATTAACATCGTCACAGAAAAGATTTCAACAGTACTTGAGTTCTATTGCATGGGGAGGAGGGTATATCCTCAGTTCAGTCCCTTCTTTACGTCATCAGACGAGCCTCCAGATGAGCCTTGATCTGAGCGTAGGGAAGCTCGTGATCCAAACGAGTCCTTGGCAGCCATTTTGTTGAGTTTCTCCAGTGTACTGAGGGAGGGAAGAGCGGGTACAGGGGTGTGGTCGTCCTTGGAATTCATCACCTGTAGGCCTGTAATGTTAGAAAATATCTACATTATCATACTGTCACAGACTCAGAATATAGGAATGACCAGGTATGTAGGAAGTAGGTATTTGACTCTAAGATTACAGAGCTATACTTAATTTTTTTTTTTATTTTCACACACAGTGAATCTTTAATGCAGATTAAGAACCTCTTTCACAGAAGAAATGATAACAGATATACTGTCAGTATTTTACAGCTTTATAATTTATTTGTTACATGTTACCTTGGTCAGCCATGTCCCACGCCTCCCTGTCAGCAGAGTTGTCCATTATATACTCCAGAACCCGGTCCAACTTCAGGCGCCGAGCCCGCACACTGTCAAATAATAACACAAGCAACATTCAGTGTATGTCGAAAAATAATGTAACATCAAATATTTTACTAGTATGTGTGGATTTCAAAATATCATCTTGTCACAGATCATTAAAATTTTTATCTGTTTTAGTTCAAACTCAGAAGAACTTTATATGTTATAGTTAGGTTCCATTGTCACACTTTATCTGTCTGTATACACATTTAAATTGCTACTCTTAGTTTTTGTCATTTTCAATAAATAAATCTTGATGTTTAAGTTCGTTAAATAGTGTTCCATCTGTTATTTGAAATAGAATGTCTTTTTACTGTCCATGTCATCATGATTTGATATTTTGGTGAAAGCTGTTTACAATGATGTAATCAAATCATGTACAGACTGATGCTTCTAGTCCTAAGCTTAAACCTGAACTCATCTAACCTGATATAAAGGTAGGCTTTTAAAGATACACGTCCTGATTTGAAATATTTATAACTCACCGTAGATCTGCAGCCTCCAGCATACAGAAGATGATTTTAGCCACAACTTTCTGCAGCATGGGGTCCTTGGTTCTGGCAAACATACTCAGAGACTCCTTCAGCATGGTGTGATCCATCAGTAGTTCACATGTCTGTAAGCAGAAACCCATCAAAAAAACTTCTTAAGGGGCATTTTTACATGATGGCTTCCTTAAAATAGGTGTCCACACAATGTTATGATTTATACCCCAGGAACAAAGTTAGGCATGACTTACATGTCTATTTTCTGCATAGTATAGGAGGATTTTTCCAGCCAAAAGGAACAGCTTTTCATCCATGGTATTCATAGGAAGCTCCAAAAGAACCTCAAGTAGATTTTCCTAAATAGAACAATTGTCATTTTTACCAGAACAGTTATTTTTTGAGTAATTCTTTAACTGTAAATGCAGAGCTCAATTTACAATGACACCTACTTGGGCACAGATCATGTCAGAACTCTCTATTGCCAGAAGCTCTAGTGTTTGTAGAGCATATCTCTGAGTCTCCACATCATTGCTTCTACAAAGGTGGATCAAGGCCTGAGCTGCAGATAAAGACAGACATTTTAAGTGTTAGTTCTTCATATCAGTGTATTAACATTTAAGTAAAGACAAACCTTCAAGATCAAAGCAGAACTTTCAAGTTGGTATCATGCCAGACATAATATCTCTGACATGACAATCAGAGTTATTGACTTGATCACTAGTTAAGTCCCTTGATACAGTTACCTGGAATATTCCTGGAGGTGATCTGGACTCGGATATCTCTGTTGAATGCCAGATCCAGGAAGATGCTGGCCACGGTCCTCTGACAAGTTATTGTTCCTTGGTAAGCCGCACGGGCCAGGTCATCCAGACTGAAACAACACACATTTCTATATAAATATCCTGCCATAATAACATTAATGATAATTTAAGAATCTGATATAACTTACACAGAGCCACTGTATTAAAACAGGCAGTTTATTGATATCTTTTCACCAATATGGCCTAGCTCTTCATTGTTCACAAATTCATGACTTGCATTCTGTAAAAACCTGTGATTTTTAAAATACTTCAATTCATTTCTCACAAAACATATGGCGACATTTACCCATGATCCATGACTACGGCACTCTTGTGTTCGTCAGACTCTGATACTATTCCGTAGATGGCACTGGCAGCTTCCTGCATGATTCGGGAATTCTCTGAGTGGAGTAGTGCTGTCAAAGCCTTCACTCCTCCTATCTCCACAAAGTTGTCCTAAAAATAGGCAGGACATACAGTGAAGGCTGAAATCTATTTAATATTCTGAAATACCTTGTACAATGACACAGACCCACTGAACAGTATTGTAAAAACACAGCTACTGTTATTACCTGTATGGAGGGGATTGTGATGATTAATTACCTGTATGGTGGGGATTGTGATGATAAATTACCTGTATGGAGGGGATGGTGATGATAAATTACCTGTATGGAGGGGATGGTGATGATTAATTACCTGTATGGTGGGGATTGTGATGATAAATTACCTGTATGGTGGGGATTGTGATGATAAATTACCTGTATGGAGGGGATGGTGATGATTAATTACCTGTATGGAGGGGATGGTGATGATCAATTACCTGTATGGAGGGGATGATAAATTACCTGTATGGAGGGGATGGTGATGATAAATTACCTGTATGGAGGGGATGGTGATGAGTAATTACCTGTATGGAGGGGATGGTGATGATCAATTACCTGTATGGAGGGGATGGTGATGATCAATTACCTGTACGGAGGGGATGGTGATGATCAATTACCTGTATGGAGGGGATGATAAATTACTTGTATGCAGGGGTTGATAAATTACCTGTATGGAGGGGATGGTGATGAGTAATTACCTGTATGGAGGGGATGGTGATGATCAATTACCTGTATGGAGGGGATGGTGATGATCAATTACCTGTATGGAGGGGATGATAAATTACTTGTATGCAGGGGTTGATAAATTACCTGTATGGAGGGGATGGTGATGATAAATTACCTGTATGGAGGGGATGATAAATTACCTGTATGGAGGGGATGGTGATGAGTTCCTCTAGAGCCTCCACTGCATGCTCCTGTGTTCCTTCATCTGTACTCATTGCCAGAGCTAGCAGAACCTCCAAACTTAATCAAACAGAAAAATATAGCAAAAAAAGATTATAGCAGTCAGGTATTTTAAATTCTACAGTTTGATATAGTCTTTATGGATACAATGTTTAGAAGCACAGTTGACTCACCCTCCCTCTGCAACGATTCTGAATTTGTTGTCGTCACCAGAGGCTGCCATGGCTGCCAGCTCATAGGCCGCTGTTCTCTTGTCCTTCAGTCTGAAATAAACCGTGGGCATTGAAGGTTTTCTTATTTACAAAGGCAACAAGAATAGTAGACACACTGGTTACATGTAAGAATATTCTTTACAAAGGGAGCTAACCTTCCATTGCGAGCGGCTGCCATCACCATTTCAATATCCCTTTCCTGAACTAGGAATTGTTCAATATAATCTCCAATCTGCAGAGAAAAAAAAGTTCTGAAAATTTTCCCTTTCAAATGAAATATATAGATATTCAAATATTTATAAAATCAAAGGTAGACTGACTTTTGTATTTTCTATTTTACCTCCAGTCTGAAACTGAAGAACAACACGCCCACAACAATGGCCGACAGAAGGAGAAGGAGGGACTGCATGGCGAAGAATATCGCGGTGAAGACGTTCTTATGAGAGCAGTCACTGATAAACTCCCAGTCCTTACAGCCATGATTCTGAAACACAATACTGAATACAATCTTATAGATATCAAAGAATATCGCAGTGAATACATTCTTATGAGAGCAGTCACTGATAAACTCCCAATCCTCATAGCCGTGATTCTGTAATACAATACAATCCTATCTTATGGATGTCAAATCAGGAATTTCAGAAAGTCTAGTTTTTAATTTTTTCTTTGCACAAAAATTTAAAGTTGATCTGCATGGTATCTCGAGCAGTGGAGAATTAATATCTTTAAAAAAATATGTTTAAGATATCCAAGTAAGTTTCAAGTTCCAACCACTTTTTCTTCATATGATTTAACTACAATAGCTGGAATCAGATATCTTAAAGTTTTTTTTCTGACAATCACATATAAGATGAAAAACTTACCACAATCACCATCCAGGAAGTGGCAGACATGTAAATAGCTGCTCCTAGTGTCCCCAGAGAAGCCAAGAAGTACGCAATACAGAAAATAAATCTCCTGTAAACAAAGTATTATAGTGTAAGGTCAAGAAGTATGCAATATTGAAAATAATTCTTCTGTAAACAAAGAAATCAGTAGTGATCAAGAAGTATGCCACACAGAAAATAAATCTCCTGTAAAGAAAGTCATTTACAGTGGTGAATGGTGATTGTAACTAGTACCCTTTTATATGTTAATTAATCAAACTTCTTTTTGAATATTTATTTATTTAAGTTGTATATTTTCTAATTAACACACAACAAAACTATCAGAGGCATTAACCACTGCCATGTTTGTGGTAGACTTTATCAAATAACGTGTGATTTGCTTTTATTCACTTTAATTGGAAATAAATTCTATTTTATTAGATCTCTAATCTTATGTTTGCTGCCTGTTCCAACTCAGGGTTAAAAAATTGGGTCAGTATAATTATATACATGTTGATGGGATGAGAAAATACAAGTCTTAGAATGAAAGAGAAAAATTATCCTTTTCTGGTGGTTTAAAAAAGTTTTTAGTAGAGCCACTTTTTATAGCCAGTAAGCAGAGAAAGGGCAAACAAACAATTTTAAAAGGTGACCTTAGCATATACAAATCTGACTTTCAGACAAATACTTCTTAGTGACTTACAAATGAGTGTTATTTCCAACATATCCTCCAACTCTTGTGTACTGGGGACGGAACAAAACGGCAAAAATAAAAACTGGGAAGGTCCAGAGAAAAGAGTAGTAAAAGGTCGTTACCAGGGTCAGACAGGTGGTCAGGAAGTGCATGTACAACAGGCCCTGAAACACAAGATAAAGATTCAACAATAGCTCATACAATAACAAGTTATACAGAAAACTGCCCATAACCTTCACTCATAGAATTTTATGCATTACTGCTGCTCAAAATTTTAGCATAAATGAAACTGCTTATAGACAGTGTGATATCATAGCTGCTTTGCATCAATCTGATCAAAATCAGATCCTCGATCCGCTCCTTTGTTTTTTTATTGTCGCTACATGAGGTAGTGACAATAAAAAAACAAAGGAGCTGGACAATATTGATTTTAATCAGATTGTGCTTTGCATAACAAAAGTATTCATCACCAGAGACTTAGCTATAATACAGTTTGTAAATTAAGTTATATATATATACATTGAAGTCTTTCAGTAGTTTCTCTCTCAGTGTGAATGCTTTGATTTCCTTGTACAGTGGGGCCTTGACGTCGGTTGTTTCGTTAGCGTTCAGATCCAGGTTTACTGTGGAGGATCCCGCCACCGACTGTAGGTCAGACATTGACTGAAATAATGGAACATGGTATAAGTATTTAGTTCATATTTCTCTATAGAAATAGAATATTGAATTACATAATGTAGTTTCAACTCTTATCTATGAGCACAGACTGCCACATTCATTCATTGAAAAAGAAAACCCAATGTTATACAGGTACTATTTTTCTTTACAATTGAGATGCATGCCATGGAGAAGAGTGTAGATATAAAATTTTTGTTTGTTAGTTCTCAATAAACAAATACTCTGTATTAAGACTGGTACATATGTATAATATAATTTACATGATATTAACAACTTGAGAAAAACATTTCTTCTTTTATTTTCATTTGATTTATGAGGAAAGAATATAAAATTCATACATCAGATTTCTTTGACAAAGGAATCATCTTAATCACAGAGTTGTCAACAATATCATAATCTCTGATGAGAAAGGCATCCCTGAGGTACTGCCCCTTGTAGCGAAGTCTAAACTGGTGATCTGGGTAGCCAATCTCAAACAACTTGTGCAGCATGCGGGCTCGGATCCGAGCAATCTTGTCATTGAAATTTACAACAACAACAAATGTTCGGTGCTGAAAAAAATTATGATGTATTATGATTAAGAATTTTTATGTTTAACATGTTTAATATACCTATACCTGTATATATAATACATTCTGAACTGAAACAAAATCAATAGATATAAACATACGTGACTACACAAGAAAAGTAGGAGATAATGCAATGAACAGGTCCGGCACAATCTCTTGATTAAGCTATATAGCTTGATTTAGCTATATAGCTTTATTTAGCTATTCAGAATAGCTTGATTAAGCTATTTGCTCAGATTTTTTTCAGATGTGTTATTTTTTCAACATGTGCAAAAAGTCGCACCTTGGTGCAGTGGAAATATTAAACTTTGTTTTCTTCTGAATACAATGCATGTAGAAATCACTCACCAAATTGCGTCTCCTTGAGAGACTTTGTACTCAAAGTTTTAAAAGTTTTGGGGCTATTGATGAGTGACCACACAGTTATTTATTGAATGAAATTATAAAGGAGGCCAGTTATGGCCAACAGGATAATTGATTGGTAACAGTTCAACACAATGAGAAGCAATCATACTTACCCACGCCTCACTGCACACACAGTTACTCAAACAATGGAAATTCATATTTTGCTTAAAAGTATTAAACAGCAGCAATGTTAAGAATTTCTATGATTTAGGTTGTATTTTTGATAGTCCATAGTACATATATGAATAGTCAAATATTTGCGACTTTTTTGTTTATTTCTTTCAAAAAACGTTTTTGTGAAAAAATGCATATAAATATATTTATAAAGCTATTTTGAATAGATTAATAAAGCTTTATAGCTTAATAAAGAGATTGTGCTGGACCTGATGAATAACTACCCAATAGACAGTTTTCATTATCTGTCAATTGTATTTTGTGGAAAAAAAACTTCAGACAAAATCATATTAAACTGAGAGGGTAATGAAAGCAGTAAAATATAATTTCCTTGTCTATATTATGTATTTGAGAAAAACTCACCGGAAAAGCTTTACTTTCGATGTAAATTAACATGTTAAGGTTTGAAAAAACACAAGCACCCTTGTTCTTGTTTACATTGGAAACTTTCAAAATGGCGTAAAATATCTTAGATAGCTCGTACATAAAATTCAACAAAAAAGTTTAGTTTTAAGTATCTAATTTGATAGAAATTATTATATCATTAATTTCATTTCAAGATTAATAAAACATAAAAATGCCAGATAATTATTGATTGACCAATTTGAACGAAAAATTTAAAATAGAATAAAAAGAAAACGATTTATCTTGCATTATGCCATTTCTATCTTTAGTACAAAAGAGTTCTGTAGTGAGTTAACATTTTTTCACTTTCAGACTCTGGTATTTATTTTTTAGACAATGCCAGATCATTTGGGGGCAGACCAGAGAAAAACAAAAGAGGACAAAGAAGATGAAAAGCCAATTCAAGGTAAAATATGGCCGATGATATATACACGACCGTCGTGCACACTATATGGAAAATCTATTTACACGACCGTCGTGCAAATAGCTATTGCAAAGTAATGAGATATATACACGACCGTTGCATAGATATTAAGTAAAATCTATCTACACGACCGTCTTGCATATAGCAATTGTATGGAAGGGAATTACCGCCAGAAGTCTATGTATCTTGCTTTTATTCTTATTCTGCCTACTTCTTTATGCTTTGTTATTATTGTAACTGTATGTCACTTTATTGTTTTCATATTCGTCTTTATTACATTTCACTTTGACTTTTATCCTTCTTCATTTCGTCCTTAATGTTTCTTTATTCTTGTTAAGTCATTTTATTTTCTTTTAAATTGATACAGTATCTTAAATGATTATCTCTATTACGAACGTTAACTCAATCACGCTAACAATGAAGCATATTCAATGAAGACGAATACGAGTTGTCCTAATTTAGTGCCGCATTATAACGCTAGGTGGCAGGGGTGTTCGCTAAGAGTGTTGGTAAAATTAGGTAAGCAAACCGGGCCGGGGTTATTCGAGTTTTTTTTCCCAATTTTCTGCCTTAATACTTTATCAATCAACTTAAATTTTCAAATGAACGATGTTTGTTAAAAGTCCAGGTATGTACCCGATACATGCCTTCCCTCGGAAGTCTCGCTAGATGGTAAGATTTCCCTTGGAAGACTGACTACATAGTGATGCTTCCTTCGGAAGACTATACAGTGGGACTTCCCCTGGGTATAGCTAGTCTTCCGTGGGAAATCTCGCTATATATAGCAATTCGCCCCCCACTTCATAGCAACCCCTCCCCCGAATATTTTTTTTAATCGTAAAACGATGTTTATATATACGAACGTTTTCAGTTTTTGAAGAAAAGTTCTCCGTCCTATACACATGATACATGTATGAATTAATATTTAAATATCATTTTAAAAGTGCTTTATAATTAAATCATTTTAACCAATATTTAAACATAGATAATCTTCAATAGTACATATGGATAATGACCCCCCCCCCCCCCCGCCTCCCCCTGGGTTAAGTCGCCCGCGTGGCACTGTGGTTACGGCATCTAGAGTCACGAAGTATAGTAGTACTTAAGGAGTCGATCAATACGTCGTGGGTAAGAATTCCACTGAAGGACGTGGAGTTCAATCCATCGGGTGAGATCTAGACCTTGTTATCCGAGGTCCCGTGTCGCAGAAGGTGCTGGCACGAAAAAAGATCACTGCTCAATGGCTATAAGTGCCAAGTATATAGGACAAATTTGCAGCTCTCCACCGGCAAGATGTGGCTTCTCCTTTTGAAAAAATTCAAGGGGCATTATACAATGTACAATCAAACCACCAAAGTCTCAATATATATACTGACTTCCGGGTGGACGACCTCCTATGGGGAAAGTTTCGCCGGTAGCCACGAAACATTTTCCTAAAATTTTTACTACTGGAAAAGTTCAGCGAAACACTTGTTGCCCCCAACCCTTTTTATTGCAGTACTAATAGTCAGTTTATATATATTAAAAGTCATGTACAGAAAAAAAGTATCCCATGATTTTTCAGTTCTTTGCATAATTTTTTTTAGTCTTCTGGCTGATCACAAATACGACGTAAAGATATAAATTCCATATTGAAAATTAAGTGCTATTTGTAATATAAAATATATTAACGCTGAAAATAAGACAATTTCTAGATGTCTGGATGCATGATAGTTTACTTCGCCAGTGCATTTGGGGTGTTAAAACCCCTGAATTTACAAGGTTTAAAAATGTATATACTAAAGCATTTCTCCCTACGAAATAGGATTTTGACGTTTGTGTTTTTTTATGCTCGTCAAGAAATTTCTGGGAATTTCTGGAATTTTTATTTTTAGACTGTGTGTTATTATTGGAAAAATACTTTTTGGATGGATTAAATATTTACGCTCCTCACTCCTTTGCCCATGTCCCTAGAATCACGCACATGAGCAGTTACTATCTTTCGTGAAATGAAGTTCAGACATTCACTGAAAAACAACCCAATTTATGAGGGTTAACAGTATCAAAATATAACATTTTTATATCAATTATGAGTTTATTTCCAACATTAACTTTAATAGAGTTGTATTTTTCAGACGAGAGAACAGTGACGTAGCAAAAATAAATAGTAAAGTACCCAGGGAAAGCACCTTGACAAGAAAAAAAAAAAGGAAATTGTCCAAACTTGTTATACCAGGCGTCAGAACCGTGGTCAGGGGGTGCATTTTTTATAGGTGGTAGATAGACTTACAACAGGCCAGACAAGATAAAGTGCCATGGACACAATGCAGTATAGGTTTAAAATTTTTGAATATTAGTTCGGAAAATGGACATTTCTTTTCTTTCTTTTTTTTTTTTTTTTTTGCTTACTTGCTCAAAATTGCTTAGCAATGCCAATGAAACTGCTTAATTTACAGTGTGTTATCATAGTTTGGGTTTGCATAACTTCTTTTATTCAATCAAATTTAAATTTTTTCAAGACTTACTCTACTACATTTACAGTTTGTAAAAAAGTTATATATATATTATTGAAAGTCTTTCAGTATAAAATCTCATGTGTGAATGCTTTGACATTTCCTTGTCGGACAGTGGGGCCTTGAAGTTCGGTTGTTTAAAGTACTAATTCAAGAATCTCAGGTTTACTGTAGACCAACATCCCTGTATAATCAGACAAATTGACTGAAATTCCATGGAACATGGTGATAAGTATTTAGTGTTTAATATTTCTTATAGAAATAGAATATTAAATTACATATTGTATTTCAATTTACAACAACAACAATGTTACAGACTGAAAAAAATTTTTGGCAATTCATTGAAAAAGAAAACCCAATTTAAGAAGGTTTTTTTTAACAAATTTAAAATTGAGATGCATGCCATGGAGAAGAGTGTAGATATAAAATTTTTGTTTGTTAGTTCTCAATAAACAAATACTCTGTATTATGACTGGTACATATGTATAATGTAATTTACATGATATTAACTACTTGAGAAAAACATTTCTTCTTTTATTTTCATTTGATAATGAGGAAAAATATAATAATTATACATAGAATTTCTTTGACAAAGTTCATCTTAATTTACAGAGTTGTCAGAATATCATAATCTCTACATATGTTTTTCAAAAATATTGCATCCCTAGAGATAGAATTTAACTGCCCCTTCGTAGCGAATCTGAACTAACCAAGGTGATCTTGTGTGTAGAATCTCAAATAACTTGTGCAGCATCCGGGCTCGGAAATTAAGCAATCTTGTCATTGAAATTTACAACAACAAAAATGTTCGGTGCTGAAAAAAATTATGATGTATTATGATTAAGACATTTTTATGTTTAACATGTTTAATAGTGGCTGATCAAGACTAGCTATTAGAACCATATTTTTGATGGTACAACGTCTTTTCTCTGTGAAACATTCCCAGAATTCCTGCACTAAAATGTCCTTTACGCAAATATATAATTTCATATATAGCATATAAAGAAAAGTATATATATATGAAATTTTCAAAGAAACAAAAAATAACATCTACAATGATTTCAACCAAAATTGCAATAGTTCTATATTTTTTTTTAACCAAACGATTCACTCAAATATTTTGCTGTCGGTTCGTAAGGTCAACAATACAGCTCTCTGATAAGAAAGGCAAAATATCGTATTTTGACATCACAGCTAGTCAGAATATGTGGCTTGATGTTTGTAGGATATAATCAATTTATGTTGATATTTGATGGTAAACTTTCGCTAGCCCCAACGGTACACATAAAAATATTATACCTGTATATATAAAATTCTGAACTGTCAAAATCAATAGTTTCCAAACAGATACATTAAATTTGTTCTTTATGCAAAATTAATATAATTTGTTCTGGCTGTGATTTGTTAATAATTTTTTTTTTAGAGTGTTTTTTAAAGTACAACATATGTGACTACACAAGAAAAGTAAATTTTAGTGCCTGTATATATATTCTGAACTATTTTTTTATAAAAATAGACAGATTTTCATTATCTGTCAATTTGTATTTTGAGAGAAATTAACTTAGACAAAATCATATTAAACTGAGACAAGAAAAGTAATGAAAAGTAAAATATAATTTCCTTGTCTATATTATGTATTTTAGAAAAACTCACCGGAAAAGCTTTACTTTCGATGTAAATTAACATGTTAAGGTTTGAAAAAACACAAGAATAAATTTTCTTGGCGAAAGATTTACATAGAGAGGAAACATTCAACAAAAAAGAATATCTTAATTGAAATCAGTACAAAAATTCAAACAAAAAGAGTAAATACTATGTTTTAAAATACTAATTTGATAGAAATTATTATATCATTTTCATTTCAAGATTAATAAAACATAAAAATGCCAGATAATTATTGATTGACCAATTTGAACGAAAAATTTAAAATAGAATAAAAAGAAAACGATTTATCTTGCATTATGCCATTTCTATCTTTAGTACAAAAGAGTTCTGTAGTGAGTTAACATTTTTTCAGATTCTGGTATTTATTTTTTTAGACAATGCCAGATCATTTGGGGGCAGACCAGAGAAAAACAAAAGAGGACAAAGAAGATGAAAAGCCAATTCAAGGTAAAATATACGT